CTGGTTGGAACCAGTCCAAGTTAAAGGTTGTGTGGCTCCTCAGCCGGAACATCGCGATGTTCTGTTCATGCTGAAATAATTTTTCCGCGGTCGGAGATCCTCGCGACGGCGTCACGGTTTACGAATACACCATGGTTCCCGCGAAACGGTTCCACCAGCTCTGACGGTGCCTCCGTTTCTAATGGTTTCCCCACTTTTCACCCCCCTCCCCACTTCTGAGGGTCCCAACATTTCTGAAAGTTCCACCATTTCTGAAAGTCTCACTATTTCTGAAGGTCCCTCTATTTCTGAAGATCCCACCATTTCTGAAGATCCCACTATTTCTGAAGGTCCCACCATTTCTGAAGGTCCCCTACTCCTGACGGGCCCCGTTTCTGTTTCTCACTCGTGACACGCGGTGCAGGTTCGATTTCACCCCGCCAAGCGGCGCTTTGAATTTTGTCGCATCTCGGGAGGTTTTAAACTATTTCACTCGCACGAGATTAAGAAATTTCACAAGAAAAATACGGCGATAGGATATGTAACTTAATTTTTGAAATAGTGAAGCAAATTTCTGAAATCTTCACAAATTCAAAATTATATTTAATTGTCGACTATCACACTTTTGTGTAAATTCTTTAATTTACAAGAATGAAAGATGATGTATAGAAAGCCTAGTTAGGAGATTTAACAGGCGAACTGTCTTGAATACGTCACTACGTCCGTGCAGTTCTCTTATTTCCAAGAAAAAGTTTAAACGTTCCTTGCAACCCGGTCCGAGTCGCTGATACGCATCTTAAAACGTTCGTTTCACACGTATCACGCGACTCGGTGAAACCCGTTCCAGTCGAAACGCGCGTGAATTTATTATTCGAAGTTTAAATCGTGCCGCTTTGCATTCAGCCATTTCTCACCACCGTGGGACGCGCTATCTTCCCTCGGAGCGGCTTACATCGGCCGGAAAACATCGTGCGTTGCCTCGGTTCTTTCATTCTCTTCGTCTTTTTCATTCTGCACGGCGAAACAGTGAGCCCCCGGACGTGAGACTGAAATTAACTGTTCGGTATTTATACGGAGCCGCACGGTTTTCCGGCGTTGGCGTTGTTTAACGTGGGCGGTAACTTGCATCGCCGACGAGAAAACGGTCTTTTATACGGAATGTTAACGTTTAAACTTTCCAGATCGCAGTAATTTCACCCGTTACGTACCGTCGATTTACAAACCGTTGTTCCTGGCGGCTCCGTATCCGGCAGATAAATGCCGCAGGGACTCTCAGCGACTTTGCGTTTCATATTGCGCGCCGTTTTTTCGGTCTGCGAACGCCGTCACGTGTTCGTGCCATCTAACCCAGACAACCGTTTACGCTGAATCATTATTCTTCGCGAACGTCGGCCCGCGAAAAACGTCCATGGGATTTAACGTTTCATGTTGGCGTTTCCCTTCTATTCGCCGTTAACGTGTGTAGAAACGCAGATGCCAGGTTTTCAGGAAAATTACGACAATGGAAAAGGTATGTTTTCTTTCAGTTATTGATCGATTCGAAATATCACTGCCTTTTTTTATGTGAGCGAGTACGGTAACCTTGATCGATGGTGCTGAAGTTCGATATTTAATCGTACTTTGGAATCACTTTGACCGTAAATGTCAATTATAATATGTTGAATTTAAATTTCGTAAATGAAATGATCGCAACTGTCTGTGAAATTGAAGAGTATGTTTAGTTCATATAAATCGATTCCTCTCGATATATGAAAACTTCAGCTCACGATGTTCATAAATTTATTCAAGTAGTAACGTTCAAATGTTGCGTCAGTCTATAGAAAGGATTGCTTCAACTATCTGTAGATACTTTTCATTTGAAATGTTTTATAAGCGTCAGTTTTCGTGTATACTTATAACTTTACATCATCAGTGAAATTTCATTAATAGTCTCACTTTAGAAAATGATCGTTTGCAAGGCATTACTAAAAATCTGTTCTATAGAAATAATTTTGACGAAAATAGTGTCAAGGAAGGTCTTACTGTAAATACTACAAGTACTGTTTCTCCAATATTGTGTAAGAGAGGCAGTAGGTACACAAAGTATCATAAAAATATTAGACTTACAATTTATCAGTTTTCGTACGAAACTCAGTTACTACACTGTACAGACGCATGAGTAATCGTTTGGAGTATCGCGAAGACAGGCAATGCATCACGCGAGTCAGGCCAGAGTGTTCTTTATTCGCGACAACGTGTTCCCAGGAAATGCCAACAAGATTTCACCCGGAATAAGTCTGTAACAAGTGTTTCAATTATACGAAACGAGTCAAATTCTCGCGACTATATGTTTCAATTAAACGGCAGTTCGTACGATTGTCATTAATAACTCGCTTACCAGGTAGATTAACTGCAATGAAATATTCGTCAATAATGGAAATCGTCTCGTCTCACGAAGCAGTTGGAACATTTTCCTCGGGTAAAGTTTACCTACTTCCATCCTATGTTCACGGATTTGCATTTAAACAACTCTTATCTCTTACGTAACACAATTCGTTTAACCTTTTTCCTTCTATTAACAACTGGCCCGTTCCATTGCATAATTTAGAATTTTTTGCCATAGTATTACAGAAATGTATTCCCATCACTTCCTTTCTTTTTATAACTCTGGAGGGATCATTTAACAATAGAATTATTTACCCACTGGGTATATGTCGATCAATGTGGACTAATTTCTAGAATAAAAATAGTGTTCTCAGTTCATTTTTCCCTATCGTCCCCAAATTCTCAATTTTACATTCGTCTCTCGTTTCTAGGAAAAAGCCACATGGTATTTAATTAATCCAACCGATATCTCCACAGACTTTCAATCAGCATTTTTCGCGAGAAAATTCGCGAGCATATATAACAAAATGTCGGAGCTGACGCGTATTATTTGAAACACAATCTTCTATTGTAAATCCACGTTCCCTTACAAAAATTGGTAATTGAACTCTCTTTCGTTCAAAATCTAATTCTAGCTGTTAGTATCTCCTAACGTCTAAACTTACAGAAGCATCGATTAATTTCAAATTTTAAATCGATTAAACCGAAGCCCCCGACAAGTTTCCGAGCGCACGGTTCGCCAATGATTTTTGCCGTTGGTAGCCGAACGGTTTATGGGACGAACGGCAAGAATCATTGGAGCTTCGTATACAGCGCGACTGGGGGAGGCTTACAGAGCTTTACGGTTCGCTTACGCCGTTTTCGAGGCACACATACGGCACCGAAAGACTGTTTCTATCCTCCGTAAATTGAGGAACGATCGCGAGTTCCACGGAGAAACGTTACCCGTAATATGTGTGCGTCCTCGTCCCTTATCGATTCGACGAGACCCGGCTGATAAATGTTTCCCAGCGACACGAACGGTTGGACGGTTCGAGATTCGTTGGGGGATTATTGGAAAATATTTCACCTGAACGATAATTGTCCGCTTCCGTTTAATTATGTGCCGAAGAACACTTGAGAAGTGCTCGAAACTTTTCGTAAATAACGTTTAATTGTTCGCGACACAACGCAGTGTCATGCGAATGTCGTTACGACTCCGACTGTCGCGATGCTCCATTGCGATTCCAACGTCCCCGCGGACAAACGTTTCATTCGGCTGGGAACGTTCTATTTTATTTTGCTTTTTCGTTTTTGTATTTCGAGATCGACACGTTCGAGGCGCGACAGCGTGTTGCGGTAATTAAAATATTTTTTAATTAAAGTCGCGCAACTGGAGAGCCTGGCAGCACAGACACTGAAACCGTAATTCCATTCCAACATATCAAGTGGTAACTTGACGCTCTTGTACGGTGAATTCAAGAATTTTTCTTTGCATTTTAAATAAAATCCGTTGATATTTTGTTGAATGAGTGATCTTGAACACAGAGTTTTTCAAGTTCCTAAAGAGTTATTTATTTACACTTCTTTTTTTATTTAGATAGGAGGAATTATTTGAGTCTGCATTGTTTAACAACTCTTCCGCTAATAATTATTATTAAATATTAAATGATGAGAAAGATAATGATATTGGAGAAGTTTAAACTCGTTCTTTTCGTTCAAGGAATTACGATACTTCCCTTTAATCGTGTCTTGTAAGAAGTAACTCGGAAAAGATACTAGTTCTATTATTAAAAGTTGGTTCTGTAAAGAAATGGACTACATTTACTTAATTACGAATTTGAAAGGATAACTACGTAGAATCATAATCGTTAGTAGATATGGGATAGAAATTTTGTATGCTGTTGCTTTTATCCTACACTCATTTTCCGTAAATCCATCGAGATTAGGATTACGACGACAGATTAATTTCGGCATTAATAATTTTAAAAAGAAAATATATATCGGTTACAATATTACGTGCAGCCAGAGTTTTCATGTTCAGTTATATAAGTGTAGGTGTATAATCGTGATTCCAATAAAGCCTATGAATGTATAATTGATGTTCTACAAATCTCAAAAAACAGTTCTGAACACTTTCTAACTGATCGGTGGAATTGATTTGAGAGACCAAATGACTGATGCATACTCTAGGTGAATTCTGACTAAGGTTATGATATTACGAAAAATTATTTCAATTGGAAATCTATTCTGTAGACATTAACGTAGTCTCGAACGCTTGAACTTAGAATTACTCTGTACGCCGAAATGTCAAAGATTCGCGTGCAGCGTTCAAAGGTAACCGTCGACCTACGCGAATTCCTGGCACACGTTGGAAAATCACCGCGACGCATCCAGAGCCGGGCAACAGTCAATTTATCGGTTGCGCAGAACAAATCCCAATTTATCCAATCGTATATAACATTTGCCCGATACTTCGATGCCGTCCCGCGTGTTCCTCCCTCCCGGCGTATTTGTCGCCGTCGACATTCCCATTTTCGTCGGACAGATTTCTTTTTACGAGGTGCTGTGTGGCGCGTCTCCTCCTGTTAATCAATCGAAGCACCCCCCTCACCTCCTTTTCGCGCGCGCATCCCTCGCTCGTGCAAGCTAGGGCGATCGTCGGTAGGATCGCTCGATCTCGCCGATTCAAACCGTTCGTCAACGATTTCCAGCGGAACAGTTCAATTCGTACGTGACACTGAAGCTGCAGAACGTCAAGTCAACGACAGTCACTGTGAAAGGGGCCAATCCATGCTGGGAGCAAGACTTTCTCTTGTAAGTACAAGTTCACATACCGTTTTGGCGCCAGATGGGGAACGATTTTACAAGGGCAACAAAATAAAAAAAAAAAAAAAAAGAACGTCCCTACAGGATCGTTTCGAAGTTTAAAGGACTTCCCGGATGATTTTGTTCTCGTACGAGCAACGGGGTCGGATGAAGGAATGGGAGGACCCCGTTTCTCGATCGACGGAGGAAGTTGTATATGTATCCAGAGAGAGCCGTTTCGATTTCGAAGTTGAAATTTCGGATTCTGAAGTTCCGTGATTCAATGGTAGCAGATCGGTCGAGGTTCGATTCTACGTCGCCCTGGAAAGTTTCTATCCAACTGGGTAATACCCGATGCTGAATAAAAATGATAAGGGCATCGAGGGAAATTGTCGAGAGTTCGGAGTGTGCGCGTTATCGGGACGCACACGTTCATTACCGAGCCTAGCGTCGAAGCTCGGAAACGCGGCCAGGAGTTTCGCGATCGACTATCGAACCTCCTTAAGAGGTAATCCGATCCATGACTGATATATAAATAGGTGCTTAGCCAGCAGAATGGGATAGCGCGTTCACGATGCCGCGATTAGCTGATTGCGAGTTATGTTTCGCGTTTTAATCGTTTTTCCTGCACCCTGTCCTCCTGATATTTTCCGCTGGCTTCGCTGCTATCGATTTCCTGGCATCTTCGCATCGCCGGCGAGGCGGGCTTGTTTTTTGCCGGGGATATAATTACGTGCTTAATAATAATGTTGTACGATGACCTTTTAATTGCTTCCCCGTGTCAGTGCGTGCATCATCGACCGTGTTAATGCACGCTACATTTGAAAATATGCGGTAATTTATCATGTTTTCGCACGTATCACGGTCAAAAAACGGACTTGAACTAGAACGACTCAGGTTGGAAAGACGCGGCGAGGGCTGACAGAAATTTAAGGAAGTCTAACTACACCTGTTTCGGTCCCAGCCGATCAGAATGGTGCAATTCTAGGTCGGCAGACTCGAATGAAACCGAGATAGGGCCCAGAAACTAGCTCGGAATCAAGAGTCTCGAATCGGTTTAACCTTGAGACCCAGGAGCTGAAACCTGATGACCTTCGAGTCAGAGGTTCTCGAGGCTTATAGACTGAAGCCTAAGGCCCCTGAGAACCGAAGACTCCATAATGGACCTCTGAATGTAGGAATTCAAGACTAATGGACCCCTGAATCGAGGAACCTAATACTCTGATTTTAAGAACTCAAAATTAACAGATCCCAGAGGCCCAGGGATTATAGTTTGAAGACTCAAATCTACCAGTTCAAGCCTGAAAGGCATTGTGTCCCAGAAATCTTCGAAACTCATGGACCCAAGAGCTTCCATCTCAAGTAGCAAATCTTCCAGACATCTGACTTGGGTCCCAGGGTCCGGAGATTAAAGAGACTTAGGTTCTTTGATGTTAGGCCGGTCGAATTCGAGTGTTCCAGTCATGGGTTGATCTGATTCGCATTTCTGGATTCTAAGTTGGTTCAGTTAGTAATACATAATATGGTTTGATTCCATAAATCGTCCTAGGTCGGTTCGATTTGAGTTTTTCTGTCCAGGGTTCAACTGATTCGAGTCTCTAGATCCTAGGCCGGTATGATTCAAATTTGTCGACTTTGGGTTAATCCTACACGGGTCTCACGGTGTTTAGAAATAAAATTAAATCTCGTCTGATTTAAATATCTTCACTCGAGATTAAACCTCGGTTGATTTAATTTTTGCGCCTTTCGATACATTGTATTTCGGATATTTCGTCCCACAATTGTCTCAATTCGATTCACTGGGATTAAAATTCATATATTTCTTATTATTTTTTTTAAGAGTGTATCGTTTATTACTATATAGCAATAATATTTTGGAAACACATGTTTTCTGTAAAAGTATGCACGTTAGTCGTTTGACAAACGTTAAGAGTTGGTGTTTCATCGACAGACTGTTAATTTTATCTCAGGGTACATTTTTAATCATACTCGAACGTTCTCTGTATTATAAGGAAAAAAAATAAGAGCACGTCATGTGCTCGAGATGAAGAACAAGCTATTGATCGAGGCTGGAAAATATATAAGGAGGACAATCGCGGTAATCGCGGCGGAAGAAAATAAGAGAATTTTGGATCTTGGCTCTCTAAAATATCCCTACCGGCGTCGCTAAATCCTCGCTTGTCAAGTTGCGAACCTTTAACCTACTTTTTCTTTGACGGTCGTCTATGTATGCGCCTCGTGACGCTTTTAAATCGTATTTATTTAAGTTCCGTGACGAAATAACTGACTAAAAATACGAACCTCATGCATGTACCGATCAATTTCCCTCTATTTACAATACTCGCATCAACTATGCAAATTCTGACAAGTATCTACTGGCAATAGAGATCAATTTTAATAGAATCGAAATTATGTAGATATTTCTATCAAACTAATGTCAGTCTTAAAATCGTTCCTCGTGGCTCTCATCTAATCTGTCCAGAGTGTGCGAATCATTCGATGGTTGACGAGAGGTTATAGAAAATTATTGCGTCCACACGTCACTGATCACACACTTTCTCGGCAAACATAATACGAGTCGACGTGCCGCAACGGTGGTCCACGGAACCCATTACAAACGCTAATAGAATTCCAAATGACTCCACCCGTGCTGTTATACCTCTCGTCGGCCGACATTCCATTCGTCATACCTCCGTAAAATTGAAACGCCCGATTTCGTCTGTTATCTAGCGAAACGAACGACATGAACACGGGCCTCCTGGTCGAGGTCTGGTGCAAGGGTTTCCTGTGGGACCGTTTCTTGGGCTACTACTACGTCCCGCTAACAGAAGTGTCCTACATGAACGAGGTAACGTCTAAGCAGTCTTACAATGCACCCACCACGCCAGGGCAACAAGAACAACAACAACAGCAACAACAGCACATATCCCCCGACAGCATGCCTGACACGAACAGCAATACACAGCTACCAGACATCACCAACACGGTACCCCTAATTGATACATGCACCTCCACCTAGAATTTCTAGCTTAGCGCCTCCCTTTCGGATTAATTCAAGCTATGGCATCTCCCTCTCCCTCCTCACCCCTATTTCCAGCCGCTATGCATACTTCCGAACGTTCCCCGGGTAAAATCTCGATTAGACCTCGACAAGAGGGGTTTCTATTATTTGGGGACGTCGATCGAGCAGTTCTGATAATCCGTGTACACGTGGCACCCTTATCCCGACAAACTAGAGCTATCGTGCACGGTTCACATCGAATATATACATATATATGTATGTATATTAATCGACCCTTGTTTCCTTCGTCGCGATGTGTTTGATATAGAATTGGCAATGCAGGATATAAATGTGGGAAACTAATGGGTTTACCAACTGGCTAGTTTTATTAAAACGATATATACGAAGCTAGACCTTCTGCGTTGTCAGTCAATGATGGATTGTCCAATGAGGATATACACATTGCGGATATAGGATTCACTGGGAATTATTATTGTTATTGTTATTAATGTCTTTTCTGCACGTGCATGTCAATTATAGTACAATGACATAATATTCCTCCCATGCAATCGGGTTAACTTACCTTCAGTACACTCGTATTGTCGACTCTAACATTCTGTGGCGCTAGCTTAGTAGCAGACAGGTCAAGGCGGAAGCGTGTCGCTAGAAAATGAAATCGATCGAGAAATAGATATAACGAAGTAAGCTGTAGAGAAAATGGAGTATGAAATTTAAATTTAGTACTCGTGTAGCAAAGATTTGAATTTTGATCAATTTTCTGTCACTTTGGGTTTCATTTATTTTAATAATGACGAAAAAACTGTTATAGTCCGACCGAGAATCGGTCACTCTAAAATACCACCATATTGCAACTACTGCCACAGAAAATGTATCACCCAATCATCATCTGAGTGCAAAAGATTCTTATCTCAAAGGCGACAACATAACATAAACCCTGACACAGTTCTCATTTTACAGGACCACTCAAGGAACTTAATCAATTTTCTATACCACACTTTTGCTCTAAAATCTCATTACCTTAAAACATCGTAACATAGACTGAATTTCGTTGTTGATGACTAGATTTTATAGAATTTATTAAATACACGACCTTCAAAAATTCAGTATAAAGTTTCAGAAAGTTAATTCAGGGTTTCGTTTTACTTCGAACCGATTAGAGCCCTTAACAGAGTAAATAAATTTTTCTTTCCATCCACTTTCGAGAAATTAATCCATAGAATTCTATATTTGCATAAACATCTGCAGTCTACCAATCAAGTGAAAAGAACGTAAAAAAAGTAGAAAATAAATAGTAGCGTAAAATCATATATTTGTACTCGCAAGGCGGTATAATAAGTAATGGAGCTTTTTTTGCAGTTAGAATCTGCCCAAGAAGTGCTCAGTTTCCCCTGTAAAATGGTCTAATACACAGTAAATCTAGGAGGTATTGCACTTGCGTTCTCGATTTAGTTTGGCCATCCGAGACTTCCAGTATACTCCGTGTATACCGCACGAACGTGTCGCTGATCTCTGAGCAAGCGTTTCGCAGATACCGCGGGTGGCTTAAGCGTTTCGATGGAACAGTATCTTACAATCAATCTGGATCTAGCTCTAAGCAACTATAAAACGCGAGCACGTCTGCCGGTAAGCGGTTCCCCATTTCACCGTATGTGATACGATACACCGGAGGGGTAACGGTGACACAGTTCGCCAACGAGTACGATTTCTTCTTTTACCCGGTTTAGTGGGGAAGTACTCGAGTATTTTTTGGATAGAAGTGACTGAACAATTTTTGATAACAAAAATTTATAGGGTTTTCCGACAAATGAGTTTTTTCTCTGTCGGCGAACGATCCTATGTTTATAAAGTATTTCGGCTTCGCGCGTGTGCTTAAAATTGGTCATCAATTCGGATCGATCGGAACAGGTTTGATGCCTGTTATAACCATCAGACCTGTCTGATAAAGAATGTATCTGATCTATCATGTTCTTTGACGCAGAAGAAATCCGTAAGTTAAGATATTCATTCGAAATAGGTATTTTTCGTATACTTCGAAGAATTCTCTTATAATACATTATAAAGCAATGGATGAAGGTAAATCGTTTTTCCCTTGTTACTACGTCACTAGTGAAGGTAAAGGTTTGAATCTGAGGACAAAGTTTACCTTAAGAAGTTATCTTTCTATTTGACTTTAGATTCTGTGAATTATCAAATAGATTACACTTATTACACATTTGAGTTATTTATGCAATCCTGAAATAATTTCACAACTGAACGTAAGAATATTATTCCTTAACTGGTGTGATAAGGTCTGAGGAACCTCATGAATATTTTCAGAATACTTTTTTTTTCTACAGTTACTTAATGAGAGGCTTGTTTAGTTCGGCGTTTTCGTACGGGAGAATACAAAGGAAATTTCACAGGAAAGTCTCCCAGGTAACGACATCTCGTGTTTCTTTTAAATATAAACATTATGGAATCGTTTTCGAGGAAGGGCGGACGCGGTACCGATGTAAATAAATCTTCGACCATTTCTTTTCGCTGTCGGGAGTCCCATTCCAGTAAGCAGGCGAGTGTCGTTTACACGCGAGCTGAGGCCAATCGGTGTGCGACACCGTAGCTAAAAGTGTCGTGAATTTTTTGCTCGCAATGAAAATCGACGACCGTGCGCGCGCGCACTCATTTTCCCCAACAACGTCCCCGTAAATGGTACGGGATCGCGCTCCGTCGAGCATGAAACTCGAGGCTCGATTTTGTAAGAGAGAAGAGAAAAAAAGTGTCGCGAAACAGGGGCGCGGAAAATGCGACGTACTCGGTGTGTGCTTAAACGGTGTCCCGTGTGCGACTGATCGAGTACGGGACACGTGAACGAAGGTGACGTGTGCGTAACGTTTGAACATCGTGTGTTGATAGAATTTCCGGTTGAATTGGTTTAATTCACTATCTGTCGAGCGACCGTGTGTTTTGTGAAGGATGGGTTCGAAAAGTTTGACTTTTAAGCGACACAGTGTTAGTGTTGAGAAGAGTTCAACGTTTTAGACTCGCCAAATTTTATGGATATATATGTATAAATAATAGAAGCAGCTAGAGGTATTCTTCTTTTTTATTATTTTGATAAAGATCACAGTAAATCATCGATGGGTGTTCGAAGGCCCCTCGGCACTGAACATTAAATATTCCATAAACTAATCGCCGTATGCGGCTGAAACAAATATCACTGGCTTCAAAATTCCAAGCTGTACCACGGTGCTGAATCTCGTTAAAATGTCAGTGTTACACATGGGGACCTCTCCTTGTAAGTGCCGCGGAGCCTTCGAACACTCATGGATGATTTATTGTATAGGACAAACTATGAGGTTTAGTAGACCGTTGATGTTTTATGGTTTATCGGTATATTGAGAAAGAATATTGAATCTTTATGGATCACTGGAAACTTTAAACTCACGTACTAGAATTAACCTTCGTGTTTGTATGACCGGGTCATCTTGCATATACGTGTATCTATATTCTAATTTGGTTTTTACTCCATATTGTTCTGACTGCATTATACTTCGTATCTCAGTGTTATTAATATTACTACTATTATTAATATCAGCGTCAGGTTCGATTTTCGTCTTTCACGCGATTAATTCTATTCTATGGTATTGAGTGCAATATCAACAGTATAACCATAATACATCTGTATTACAAGTACAATCCAGTAATGATTTTAATTTTCCATAATTTTATGTTGAAGTAATATTAATTTATGTTCTAGTTTATATTCTTTAAATTATAGTGACACTGTGGTATTCGAATAAATAATAAAATTTTAGAATACCTTAAAGTTTCTCCAAGGAGACAGACCTTGAAGCATGGAAGCAGTTATATTATAGACGAAAGCATTGAAGATCTCAAACCATGAAATATTGTAACATAATTTTTTAACGTTTCCCGTCGAACTTCTGATCCCGTCTAACTTTAAACCATGCAATTTCTGCTTATCATTTACGGCTGGCGTCGTTAACGCGTAAACACTATATTCTTCTCCCTTTCCCTTAATGTTTTGTTTCGTGTAAGTCGTTTATCTGATAACCCAGCGCATTCCGCGCTCGACCTTACCGGCGCAAAATTTATTGTACAAGATATCCGAAAAAAACGTGACTGTAAATTCAGGGTTGAGCTCAGCGCATGAAATTAATAAGGAAAGTTCGACTAAACGTTTGCCCTATCTGACCTCGTTTTCGAATTACGGTCATTTGCAGCGCTTCGCGTTTTTTCCTTCGGTTTCGACGATTCGCTTTACATTTCCTTTTAGCGCGGAAAGAGCAGAAAATTCAGTTAAGTAACTCGTGTAATTTCATGATCCAGTTTTCTATTAGTAGATCAATGTTTTTATGGAACTAAGAAACCAAATCGATCAACTCCACTTACGTTGTTTACCACTTTTCCAAGTATTTTCTGTTCTAATATTAGTTACACATTTGAATCAAAGTATATTCAACAATTCTTATTGCTTCGTAAACAAAGAGTCCGAATTCAATGGCTCATGTATCCTCACTTACATTTCGAGAAGTTCATATCTTTGGCTTCCGGGAAGCTTATATTTCGACGCAGTACAGAACCTGAAGAAATTATTCACAACGTTACCATTTCCTCAATTTTTATTGTACCTACAAAATTACACAGAATTTCAATTTTTGCCAATGACCAACAGTTCCTACGCTGCCAATCGCGACAGTCCCTAGTCATTATTCCCAATCTGCGAATTATCATCCCCCGTATCTCGATCCAGCAAACAGCTAGTGTGGATCGAGATGGACGACCGAGGCGATTCGAAATACACGCGGATCGGTCTCCGGAAGCCCCGGAGCTCCCTGAAATGAAACTGAAACGAGTGTGTTTACACGCGGAACGAGTCCGAATCAATTGACGGTCGAGTCGTATGCTCGATGGAAGTGTGTAACGAGTTTCGGGTTAGCTTCCATGATGTCAAATGCGCCCGG